GATCCCGGGTGCGCATCGAGGCACCACTTCTCTGTCCATCCTGGGGCCGAGTCCCACATACAGCGACTAGAAGGGTGTGCAGCTGTGACATACAACTATCTACTGGGGCTTTGGGGGCAATAAATAAAAATCTTTAAAAAAAAAAAAAAAAATCAAATGGTGATTAGCAAATGTTGTGGCACTATGCTTTTGAAAAGGAATCTTTGATAGTGGATGAGGAAATGAGGAGATTTTTTTCAGTGTCCTCTCTCCTTGTCAAAGGGATTGTTCTATAGTTAGACGGAGAGGAGAGGACATAGTCATAAAAAGCTTAGAAACTGAATCTGAGGTTAATACCTAAAATTATTTGGGAGCTTATAATTTTAAACCTCTAATCATCCATGTTCTCTAATATCACATACTGTTTTATGGTCATTTTTTAATCTTAAAAATTAGTTTTATCATGAAAGTAATAAATTCATGCTCAGTAGAGAAAATTTAGAAAACATATAAAAAGAGGCAAAAATCATATGTTTACTAGTCAGGTTTTTTAGTTGTGAACTGTAGTAGTCAACTCTGATTAATTTCAAGCCAATAATCAATTTATTGGAAGGATACTTAGGTAACTCAAGGGTTTAATTGGGACCAGTATAGGACCTGGCTTGGAAAATAGGCTCGAGCCAAGAGTGGCTCGTTGTCCATTTCATACCCAAGGTTATATTGCATTGTTGTGGAGTCTTGGCCCTGCTATCGCAGTGAATTCTAGACTGTACTTGTAGATTAAGAGTCTCAAACTGGAGTTGCCAATTAGTTGAGCACCACCAAAGATCAGAGAAGTAACTGGCCCTTTTGGTTTCTGTCCTCTCCAAATATAAGTGGGTTCAGAATTTAGACAGGAAAAAAAATGCACCAAATTCATAATCCCTCTACTCATAGGTGATCACTGATGACAGCTTGGTATATGTGCTTCCAGCCATTTTCCTGTGCAAGAATTTCATATATGTATGTACATGTTTATTGTATGAATGGGCAACAGGGGTCCTCAAGACCACCCTCAGGTTCAGGATTTGCTGGGAGGACTCAGAGGACTCAGCCTATAGTTGTACTTGTGGCTATGATTTATTACAGTGAAAGGATACAGTGCAAAAATCAGCAAAGGGAAAAGGCACATAGGATGAGGTCCAGAGCAAACCAGGGACAAGCTGCTTCTCCCAATGTAGTCACACAGGATACACTCAATTCTCCTTGCAATGAATTGTGACAACTTGTGTGAAAGGCTGTCTACCAGAGAGGCTCATTAGAGGCTCAGCGCTTGGGGATTTTATCAGGGGCTGGTCATGTAGTCACCGTCTGCCTAGCATGTACCAGAAGGAAAGCAAGTGTTCAGCATAAATCATACTGTTTGCATAAGTCGTTTAGGCTCAGTGAGCCACTCTTATCAGGGAATGGTAGGAGCCGCCTGAAATGCAAGTTCCCAGATGCCAAGCCAAGGACCAACCTTGCAAGTAGTCATTTCTAAGTATCAGGCCTGCTATGTTAACTCTTTTTTGCAAAGTATATTTGTATATTTTATAAATGTATGTCATCCGCTACGTTTTTTGTGGCTTGCTTTATTTTATAATTTTACATGAATACTTTTTTTTGTGTGAGGAAGATCAGCCCTGAGCTAACATCCATGCCAATCCTCCTCTTTTTTGCTGACGAAGACTCGCCCTGGGCTAGCATCTGTGCCCATCTTCCTCCACTCTATGTGGGACGCCGCCACAGCATGGCCTGACAAGCGGTGCTTCGGTGCACGTCCGGGATCTGAACCTGGGCCACCAGTGGCAGAGCACGTGCACTTAACCGCTACGCCACGGGGCCGGCCCCCTACATGAAAACTTTTTGAAATTTATATTCATCTATAATAAGAGGTCAGCAAACTGACCTGTGGATCAAATCTGGCCAGTAGCCTGTTTTTGTATAGGCTATAAGCTAAGAATGCTTTTTCTGTTTTTAAGGGTTTTAAAAGAAAAAAACAAGAATATAACAGAGACTACAGGGCCCACAAAACCTAAAATATTTACTCTCTGGTCCTTTGTAGAAAAGTTTGCCAACCTCTGATCTATAACGTGATTTTTTTCAAAATTGAGATATAATTCATGTACCAAAAAATTCACCATTTAAAAGTACACAATTCAGTGGTTTTTAGTATTTACAGAGTTGTGCAACCATCATCACGATCTAATTCCAGAGCACTTTCATCACTCCAAAAAGAAAGCCCTCACCTCTTAGCTGTCATCCCCCCAATCTCCCCAGGGCCTCTAGCTCTAGGCAAATACTAATCTACTTTCTGTCTCTATGGATTTGCCTATTCTGGACATTTCATTTAAATTGCATTATATAATATGTGGCCTTTTATGTCTGCTTTCATTTAGCATAATGTTTTTGAGGTTCATCCATATTGTAGCGTGAATCAGTACTTCATTGCTTTTTATGGCTGTATAATGTGGCATTGAATGGATATTACCACGTTTTATTTATCCATTCATCAGCTGGTAGACCTTTGGGTTATTTACACTTTTTGGCTATTATGTATAGCATGGTTTTTTAATGTGTGCAAGACATTAACTTCATATGGATGTGCTACCATTTGCTAAACCACTTGTTTCCAGTTTTATTGTATTATAAATAACACAACTTTTAACACACTTGTATGTATATCTCTGGTTATTTACTTAGGATACATTTCTAGAAGTAGAATTGCTGAGACAGAGGATATATATACAGTATTGAAGCTTTTGGATATATTTTATGTTTTGTTTATTTTAGTGAACTCCATTTAGCAACTACATGGCCTCATCTGACTGAAGGTATCATTGTGGATAATGATGTTTATTCGTAAGTATGTTAAGAATAGTACATTGAGATTCAAACATTTCAGTAGAATAAATTAACTGCCATGTGGTTAGCAATTTTCCTTTTTCTTTATATTGGTTTCTGATAAGGGTTGATTTTTCTATTTTTAAAGATCACTTTTTAGACTGATTAACATGTATTAGAGATGTGTTTTAAGCTGCTTACTTTGGAGACGTGATCCTTAGTTCAGGGATAATGAACAATCTGAATCTTACTTGGTTTTAGCAAAGATGTCTCTAAGCAGTTTGGGATTCAGGTTCAACAATTCTGTTGAACTTTTCTGAGCTGGTTAAAAGCATTTTATGAAGTGCTTTGAAGCGATGATGGTCATCAGAATATATGGAAATAATATTTGATCCTTAAGTGTCATAAGTAACAAAACATCCGTGTCTCATACTCCTGTGCAATGGTAACAACTTGAAAATTACAGCAAGCTTTATCTAGGAAGAATGTGGAGAAAGAGGAATGCAATTTTAGTACCTTCTCATGCTTTGATGCAGAACAGTAAGAAATAGAACACTTTTTTTTTCCATAATTAAAATAAATGTATTTGCTGATGGTGAAAGTAACATGAGCTTGCTTAATCAGATAATTTAGATGGGTGTCAAGAAGAAAGTAAAGATTACCTACAATCTCATTACTTAAAAAATAGCCAGTTAGCATTTTGGGATGTATCCTTTTTTTTTTTTCCATTGAGGTATAATTGACATATAACATTATATTAGTTTCAGGTGTACAATGAAATGATGTGATATTTGTATGGGGGTGTATCTTTTTAAAGTTTAAATTTATTAATTTGCTTTATTCATTTAATGTATTATTTTACATTTTTTACGCAAATAAATGTAGATCTATATTGTCATTTTTAAAATAGCTGCATAGTATTCCATTAAGTGAATGCACGGTAATCTAATTAGGAAAATAGAGCACTTTTGATCTTGTGCAAATTTTTGTAGTTTCTTTTTTTTATTAATATGATATGTGTACTTGTTTCTCGTTCCTTTTTTATTACTCCTAAAATGTAATTCTCTCATTAGGTTATCATTGCCTGTTCAGAATCATTTTTATATGTGTTTTTTGATTATGGTTTCTCCTTTTGTGCTTTTTTGTGTAAGAACTGTGATTTCTTAAGATTTATTTTTTTAAAAGTTATCCAGGTGGCTTTATGCATCTGAATAACAGTAAGTTTAAGTGAGGCAAAATGGATTGTTTGTCCTTGTATATAATGTTTTCATTAGACTGCATTTTGATAAATTCATGAGTCTTGCAGATTGTTGTAATTAGGATCTTATGTTTATCCTTTTGCATTTTAGTGATTTGGATCCTCTTCAGGCTCCCCATTGGTCTGTTAGAGTTCGAAAAGCTGATAATCCTCAGTGTTTGCTAGGTAAGATATATGATGTTCCATTCCTGAACGACCACCAGTCTACCTATATTCCAGATCAGGAACACTGAATGCATTGTTTATACTTTATTTCATCTATCAAAAAAGTATTTTTTATTTTTATTTTTTTACATTTGTGACCTCCTTGGTTAACACCATTAAAAAAATCTTTGCCAACAGCAGTAAATCCTTCTATTTATTCTTGAATAGTACTCACAGAATTTCTTTCTTGTGTTTTAATTTTAACCAGTCTACACCTCAGAATTCTCTGATATTTTCTCATAATCTGAGTTTTATTCTTTTAATGCTTTTATCACTCCCTTTTTTTTCCTCCCATGGCATAGTGTGCATCTTCCATTCTAGTTAGTGGAGGCCTTTTTCCCTTTTGTCATCCCTATGGACCTGTGGTATATGATGGGAAGAGCACTGATTTTGACAATCTTATTGGATCCCTTCTGTAGAGTTGTACCACATCTACAAACTTATTTTCTGATAGAGGAAAAGAGATGTAAATAATCTTGTACACCTCATAGGGTTATTTGAAGAATCAAGTGAAATAACATAAATAGAAATACTTTGAAAAATATCAATTGCTATTCAGATAGTATTATTGTATCCCACTTTTGTAAATATATCTCTTTCATGAAGTCTTCCAAACCCATCTCCTCAGTGTGCCTTTCCATCTTTTTCCTCTCTTATATTTAGTACATGTGAAAATATTTTCTCCATTTCTGTGTTCATCTATGCCACCTTCACTTCATATAACCTAATATATACTGTTCAACTGATGGAGTTACTAAATATTGATGACAGTGGGCTGGCCGGGTGGCGCAAGCAGTTAAGTGCGCACGCTCTGCTGCAGCGGCCCGGGGTTCGCCGGTTCAGATCCCGGGCGTGCACCAACGCACCACTTGTCAAGCTATGCTGTGGCGGCGTCCCATATAAAGTAGAGGAAGAGGGGCATGGATGTTAGCCCAGGGCCGGTCTTCCTCAGCAAAAAACGAGGAGGATTGGCAGATGTTAGCTCAGGGCCAATCTTCCTCACAAAAAAAATATATATATATTGGTGACAGTAGTGATGCATTTCCCTAAAGCATTATTTTCTTGGGCTATTTATCATTCATCATATGCCATTTATGCTAACTATATAATAGTGAATATAAAGATGTATAAGCTAAAATTCCTGCCGTCAGTGAATTTGTCTTGGGGTGTTAAGGAGACAAGTAGAGATTTGATATCAGGAGTTTTAGAATTGAATAGACCTTGTTTCAAATCCTAGATCCACCAGTTTGAGCAAGTTTCATAATCTCTTCAAGTTTTAGTAAAATAGAGATAACAATAGTACATACTTCATAGGGTTATTGAGAAGATCAAGTAAGATTATGTGTGTATGTGTAAAACATTTAACACAGTGCCTGTCTTATAGTAAATGCTCAATAAATAGTTTCTCTTGTTTAATCATTGAATTATTAAATTTATTTACTAAATTGTTTCCTAGTTCCTTGTTATTCCTCTTCAGCTGACTTCTGTGATAATTGCAGGACCTTAGAATTAAAAGTATTCTTATTTTAAGTTATTGTTCCATGATCTCACCCTACCTCTTTGACTTTATATGTTTATATGACTAGACTATAGGATTATATAGTCATATATAATAAACTGTAGTCATATAGTTTACGTGACTAGGTTATAGGATTTTCCTTCTTTCTGAGGAAGTCCAGAAAATGTTCTAGGTTTATTCAGAACTAGTTGATGAATTTGAAACTTAGATGTACTTGGTATATTATATTGTTTGATAATTTTAGTACTGACGGTTCTTATTAAGCTTTAATTTCTTTGTGCACGTATCTCATTGCAGCTCTTTAGACAATATCAAATCTTTTTCCCCTTTCTTATAATAATGACACAAAGAGTACCATTAATATGCAGCTGAAGCTGAAATAACTTCATCATATATGATTTCTTAATTCTCTAGAGACATATCTTTAGAATTTCTTTTTAATTTCTATTTTTTTAATGGATTCAGAATTGTAGTAGGGTGGCAGTTAGAGGAAAAAGACCACTGCATACATATAGTAATATTCTTGTTACTCGTACAACTTAATGAGAATAGCTATTATTTGTCTTATTCAGGCACATAGGAAGTGCTTAATATTATTAGGTGCAATTATTTTTCCATTTATTCTAGAGGGAATTCTAAGGAAAACTTTTTTACTATCCTGGGACATGGAGAGAAAGGAAGAGCAAGGCTACCTTTGAAATAAGATTAATTTTTGTCTTGGGTGGAAAAACTGAATAGCTTCTTTTTCTACTTCATCTTAGTTAATAGCTTCTGAGAAAAGACACATACTTTAATTTGTAGGGCTGATTTCTTTTAGTTGTCAAAAATGAGTAACATTTTTTCTATGTAGGTGATTTTGTCACTGAATTTTTTAAAATTTGCCGTCGAAAGGAGTCAACTGACGAGATTCTTGGACGATCTACATTTGAGGAAGAAGGGAGAGGTGACGTACTTTTTTTTGTTTGATTATTTTCAAATGTCTAACGCTTTTTCTTTGGCACATTTTCCAGCAACTTTTCATCTATTTTCTCATTCGCATTAAGTTAGAGAAGCAAGTTTTGATGGACTAGACACCTACCATTTCTCTCTAGGCTATACCCAAAGCTTTAAAACATTAAGTGCATTTAATAAATTCTTTCCACCAAAATTGTAAGACACTTTGAAAAGCAGGATTTTAGAGGTTTACTTTTGAAGACCCCTGGGGAGAAATAATTTGTTACACCTTTGTCAATCATGCATGCATATAAAGCTGAACATGTGTATTAAAATTCTATAATTCTGAGACCATGTAACACTAGTGAAAGAGTGACTAAAATATTCTGTACAATCATCAGTTTACTCATCACTTTAAGCTGCTAAGGCTGGTGATATAATTTGTATTTGTTTCTATTCTTTTTATAGAAATTGCTGATATAAGTCATGCTTTGTCAAAGTTGACAGAGCCAGCACCAGTTCCAATTCATAAATTATCAGTTTCAAATATGGTACACACTGCAAAGAAGAAAATACGAAAACACAGAGGTGTAGAAGAATCACCACTGAATAATGATGTCCTCAATACTATTCTCTTGGTAACTAAATGTAGTGTCTTTATATGTCTATATGCATACTTATTTATTCATTATATATTCAGTCTCTTCTTTGTGGCAGGCACTGGATTGGTAATATAAAATGAGTAAAACAAAGTCTCCACATTCAGAGAGTTCCCGCCTGTGTAGTGGGAAGAAGGAAAGTAAACAACAATTATAATACTATGTTGCATGTAAGAAGTGAGAACACAGGGGATGTATCTGTCTGGGCAGTGGGAATCAGAGAAGGCTTCATCAAGAGGGACACTTGAGCTGCATCTTGAAGTGAAGAAAGCTTTGGAAGCAGAGGAATAGCAGAGGCCTGAGCATGTTGAACAGTTTGGTATATTGTAGGGTACTTCCCAGGGAGTAGCCAGGGATGAGGCTAGAGAGGTAGCAGGTAACCTGCCATGCTGAAACACTGGAGTTTATCTTGCAGTTTAATACCATTTTAAGCGGGAGGCTGACATCAGAATTGTGTTTTTGAAAACTTTATTTCACAACAGTCCAGAGAAAGCTTTATAGTGAGTAGTAGAAAGGGCTAGGGTGTCTCCTAGTTACACCGTGGTAGAAGAGGCCCGGCCTGGGAGCCACACACACCAGGGTTTAATCCTGATTTACTATATAACTTTGGACAAGCCATTTAACTTTAGTTTCCTCATCTATAAATGAGGCTAACAAAATCTTAGGAAATTGTCTGGATGAAAGGAACTTCTGTTACACTGCCTGGAAGTAATAGGCCTTTGATAAATAATAGCTATTCTTACTGGAATTGTAGCTGTAATCGTATTTCTGGCAGTTTATTCATTAACACCATCTTGGGAAAAACCTTCAAGAGTAGTGCAATGAAAAGAATACTGGACTTGGAAACTTGGTGTTAATCCTATCCCTGCTATTAATCTGAACAAGACTCTTAACCAGATTTTCAGCTTATATATCTGTCAGACATTGGCAGTGATATTTAGCCCACACAATGGTATGAGAATAGGATGTTGTTTGTAAATGTGCCTAGTAGTAGGGGTTGGCACATAGTAGTTCATCTATTTTTAAAATTTGTTGAGGATGTTCTGTAATATGTGCAAAGTATGCATAGTAAAAGGAATTACAAGTCAGGAGTACTACAAAACACTTGGGAGGAACAGTTTGATAAAAGGACTGAGAATAAATTTCTGTAGAGAAGACCCCTTCTTAAGAAAGTATACTTAGAGGGCCGGCCCCATGGCTTAGCAGTTAAGTGCGTGCACTCCGCTACTGGTGGCCCGGGTTCGGATCCCGGGCGCGCGCTGATGCACCGCTTGTCTGGCCATGCTGAGGCCGCGTCCCACATGCAGCAACTAAAAGGATGTGCAGCTATGACATACAACTATCTACTGGGGCTTTGGGGGCGGGGGGGAAAAAGGAGGAGGAGGATTGGCAATAGATGTTAGCTCAGAGCAGGTCTTCCTCAGCAAAAAGAGGAGGATTAGCATGGATGTTAGCTCAGAGCAGGTCTTCCTCAGCAAAAAGAGGAGGATTAGCATGGACGTTAGCTCAGGGCTGATCTTCCTCACACACACACACACACACACACACACACACACACACACACACACAAAAAAAAGATAGTATACTTAGAGATTTTATTCCAATTGTATGGCTTGGTTGTCATATGCACTGAACTTTTTTTTTTTTTTTTTTTTTTTTTACCACTTTTACATACACACAAACAGAAACCGTGTGGAAAAGGTACACCGGTCATTACAGGTTTAGACTGCTTCCTACTTTCTGGGATATCTCATAAAATAAAGTTATGCATCTTAAATATCATACTTTTGGCATTTCATATATGAAAACCTGTGGATAATATAACTCTACAGAGTCTCAGATTATTTGCGTGTTCTAAAGTTTTTTTTTATAGTTTTGTCTTTTTAGTAATATTAATACTTTTTAAAAATTTAAGGATCTTGGATGAACCTGAAATCATAGTGAAGAGATTTTGGTTTTGTGTTCTGTTTAGTTCATAGAACCACATGTTTACATTTAAGAAAAATGTCTGATTTCTAAAATTGACTAGTCACTGAAACGCTGTACTTTCAAAGAAAAATAGAAAACCTTTGAGATAGTGTATAATCAACTGGCCAGTACAATAAGAATATTCCTGTTGGTTTAAGAGCAAAACCATTAAAAAGTCAAATCAACAAAAATAAAAAATTACAAAGTAGGAAATTTGGTCAAAAATGTGGTTATTTTCTTTCTTCTCGCTAAGTTTTTATTCCCTGATGCTGCTTCTGAGAAACCATTAGATGGAACTTCTTCAACAGACAACAATAATCCTCCATCAGAGAGTGAAGAATATGTAAGTTGATTTGGAGTTCAATATTAAAATATTTAAAATGCATTGAATTTCTAGAGGTTTGCTATAATTCTAGTTTAGTAGCATAAGGATCTTTTCATTTTAAAATCACCGAAGGAAAACTTGAAAGGAGATCATGGCCTCCACTTAGGTAATGACCTGCTATGAAACATTGCCATAGATACATATCTTGAGTAGCAAGAACTTTTCTGGAAACAGATGAAATAATAAATACTGAAATGAAAAAAATAATATTTTAAATATTTAAATATAACATTTTAAATCCTACAACTGTGCCTGGTTGTAGGATTTCTCTCATTTTAGACTTTTCATGAAATCATCAGATTTATGTTTTGCAACAGATTCTTCTATATTTCAAAACTAGACAGTGAGTGGAAAACTAATGAAGTAAAATGTGTAAAATAAAGTAAAATTTTCATATTTTCCTTACCCAAGTCTTTGATAAATTGAGAAATGAGAGTTTAAATGACAGGTGTAGAGATACATCAAACTGTTAACAGTAGTTATTGTTAGGAAGTAGATTTCATGAAGTGAGGAGGAAAAGCAGAGGCTTTACATTTTCAGTTTATACAGTTCTGATTTTATTTTATGTTTTTGGTTTTGACAAGTGTGTCAAACACACAAAAGTGTACTCATTTATAATTAAAAGATTTTTAAAACATCACGTGAAATTTTTAGTATATCTTGAAGATTCCACAGAAGAAACTGAAAGCTGTAACTTCAGCCTCACTAAAATTAGAGCCTCACTTTTTTGATCCTTGTAGAAATCTTGAAAACATGGGGAACTGCCGAAGAACAATTTAGGCAGTAATGTATTAGACATTTGATGAAAGCTAATTTGAGTAGGATGGGTTAATTTTAGTATTAAAATCTCTCCTCACACAGTTTTTGATTAATACATGTAAATATGTTACGTTTTGCTTTGTTTCTATTTTGTTAAATTTAGAATCTCTACAATCAGTTCAAATCTGCACCATCTGATAGTTTAACATACAAATTGGCTTTGTGTCTTTGTATGATCAATTTCTACCACGGAGGATTGAAAGGAGTGGCACATCTCTGGCAGGAATTTGTTCTTGAAATGCGTTTCAGATGGGAAAACAACTTTCTGATTCCAGGGTAATAATTTCAATTTCCAGTTGTATAGATAGGATTTTTGTTTGTTAGCAGAATTTGACTTTTGACCCATTAATTCTCTCCTTCTAGGAGATCTGCCCTAGGAAAGTGGTAAGAAACTTTGGACACAATTAATGTTCAGAGGTGTTCAGTGCAGCAAATTTATAATAGGGAAAAAAAAGGTGAAACAACCTAAGTATCAAACATAAAAGAATGGTTAAATAAATCATGATGTATCTCTACAATGCAAAGTTATGGATCCATTACAAGGGTTTTTTCTAAGAATCTCTAATAACATAGAAAATGATCATAATATTTATAGTAAAGTAGAGCATATTATTGTATATACAGAGTGCTTTCAATTGTGCTATGTATATGTGTGGAAAAATAATTGGAAATAAATACAGCTGAATATTAACAGTAGTTTTCCCAGATATGAAATTATATTTTTAATTTATTCTTTATATGTTTGTGTATTTTCTAAATCTTCTGTAGCGAACATATATTTTTATAGTTGGAGGGAAAACATCTTTAGAATTCACAAGTTCAAATATTAAACATTACCTGTAATCTTTTGGTATAATTTATGTTGACGCTTCACTTCAATAGAAGAATTCAGTTAGCATATATGTTGATAGTGCATAGGTTACTGCTCATCTACCCATGCTAAGGGAGGAGTATCGTGATATGAGTAATATAAAATGGTGATTGATCCAAAAATGTTTACACTATGTTATTTGCCAGTCTCCACTTAGCTGGATTATCTCTTGGCTGATTACTGGGAAGCTAGTGGTGTAGAACTAGAGGCAGTCTAGGCTCCCTAAGCAAAAGAGAGATGGAGGTCGATGGTTTTTATATAGAGAATCCACTATAATAATTGAGAACTGAATACATAGTCTAATCTGTTTTGTGTGGTGAGAAATATTTTATGCTAGCTACTTCCTGGGGTGGATTTGGAGGTTTTTTTGCATTTTAAGTTTTTGTTAGCTTGAGAGCTATCACTAGTTTGCTATTATGCTTTGAAATATTTATTATATTTGCTGTTGGTGATTTGTGGACTAGATGGGTAAAATAAATTTTGATCTTTTAATCTTATTTGCTCCATCCTTCTCAGTTACCTTACCTCTAGAAATCTAGTTTTGATTTCTTATCAATATGGCTGAAATTTATGGTAGTATAAAAAATATGCATATCTGAAGCAATTTTACTAAAACTAAGCTTTCTTTTCCCACTACTTTATTTGATAGATTAGCAAGTGGACCTCCAGATCTAAGATGTTGTTTACTGCATCAGAAACTACAGGTAAAGATTTCCCAATGACAGTATATAAATGTCTTGATTCAATTGGAGCTTATTCTTATACTAAATGTAATAATGGGTTATAGGCTATTCTCATTGTGCTGCTGTAGGTTTCTTATAGTCACTGTCATTCACAAGAAGGTCCAGGGATGGGGTGGAGAATGAAAGTTAAATATTCAAGCAGTGGACAGATTGTTATTTTACTGTAACTAATTCAAATATGAATGTTATTTTTGTTTTCTTAAGATGTTAAATTGTTGTATTGAAAGAAAGAAGGCACGTGATGAGGGGAGAAAGACAAGTACTTCAGATAATGTAACTAATACATATCCAGGGGATGCTGGAAGAGCTGGAGACCAGCTGGGGCCAGATAATCTAAAAGGTACGGAAAAGGAAAAGGGAGAGGTGGGAAAATCTTGGGATTCTTGGAGTGACAGCGAAGAAGAATTTTTTGAATGCCTAAGTGATACTGAAGAACTTAAGGGAAATGGACAAGAGAGTGGCAAGAAAGGAGGACCTAAGGAGATGGCAAATTTAAAGCCAGAAGGACGACTCTGTCAGCATGGGAAACTTACACTGCTACATAATGGAGAACCTCTCTACATTCCAGTAACCCAGGTAGGATATGGACTGGCTCTTTTAGTTTTTGTTATTTTGTTGTTTATATAACTTTATCCTAGTAGGAGATGATTGCTTTGGGTAGGGGCAATTGTTTAAGCAGTCTGTGTTCAAAGATCTAAGATTTGAAATCTAAAGAAACTATTGGGGCTTTTAGGTCTACCATTTCTGAAATTGAGAAATGTTTTGAAGTGTAAGTAGACAGTAGCTCATCATGTATAAGGTGATCTGTTATTTCTTAAACTGAGTGGTGAATACTTAGGTGTTTAAAAAAACAAAACCCAAAAATATGGAGGGGAAAGAATAAAAGTAAACATTCTTCAATTATATGATTAGTTTTTATCTGTTCAAAAATGTAGTTTGAAGCCATTTTACACTATTAGGAAGTAGAACAGCAACAACTCAACACCTAAGGAAGAGCAGTCGTTTTTGTGGGGTTGTTTTATATAAGTAATATGTGAATACATTTTGTTATGAAAAACTCAGATCTAGAAAAAGTGAAAGCCACCACCTACTAGTTCAACTCTCATCCCTGTAAGTAGCCACTATTATTGGTTGGGTTATAATCATAATCTTGTATCTCTTTTTATGCATTGATGTACTTATATGTGTGTGCATATGATACATAGTTATGTGGATTTTTTATTTTTAAACGTATGCACTGGTGTGCAAATTTTTGTTTAACCTAATATGTCTTGAAGATATTTCCATGTCGTTACATGTAGATTTACTTCATTTCTTTTTAATTGCTGTGTGATGTTATACATCATGGAAGAGCCATAATTTATTTAACCATTCTCCTCTTAAGGCAAAATACATGTTATTTGCAAGTTTTTGCTATTACGGTGCCTTAATAGTGTGTAGTTTTTCATATATTGTGTGTTCACATATGAGTGTTTCTCTATGGAAAAAAATGAGAAATGAGATTGGTAAACTGATACACAAGTTACAAAATTTCTCTTCAAAGAGGCTGAACCTATTTTACACTCCGTCAATGGTGAATATGGGAGTAAGGGAATACTGTTCTCTCCCCAACTTTCCTTTCTCACTTTCTGCCTTCCGTAGGTATGTATTGAGTGCCTAATATATGCCAACCACTGTTCTAGACCTTGGGAATTTAGTAGCAAACTGGACAGTAAGATTCTTGTACTCATGGTACTTATATTCATAGTTTATTTAATTTTTTGGAAACAACTGACAAGTCATAAATTTTTGCCAATATAATGGGTAAAAGTATTATCTCAGGGTTTTAGATTGTATTTCCCTGATTTTTGATGAACCTAACCATCTTTTAATATTTAACGGCCATCCTTTCCTGTGAATTACCTACCATTTTTCTTTTAAGTTGCTGTCCTATTCTTTTTGATTTATATGAGTCCTTCATATTTTAGATATAAATGTCTTATATTTATTATATGTTTTAGCCATTTAAAAAATGTGTATTTATTTACTGAGTTATAAAGTAATACATAAAGTGCACAAATCTTAAGTGTATAGCTTGGTGAGTTTTTTCGTATTTAAAAACCTATGTAACAACCACCCAGATCAAGATATAGAAAATTCCCATCCTCCTAGAAGAGTACTGATCAATAGAACTTTCTGTGAAGATGGAAATGTGCATTTTCTGTCTCTGCTGTCCAGTATTGTAACCATTATCCATATGTGGCTATTGAGTGCTTGAAATGTGGCTAATGCAACTGAGGAACTGAGTTTTTTATTTTGTTTAATTAATTAATTTATTTATTTATTTTTGTGAGGAAGATCAGCTCTGAGCTAACATCTATTGCCAATCCTCCTCCTTTTTTTTCCCCAAAGCCCCAGTAGATAGTTGTATGTCATAGTTGCACATCCTTCTAGTTGCTGTATGTGGGACGCGGCCTCAGCATGGCCGGAGAAGCGGTGCGTCAGTGCATGCCCGGGATCTGAACCCGGGCCGCCAGTAGCGGAGCGTGCGTGCTTAACCGCTGAGCCACGGGGCCGGCCCTGTTTAATTTATTTAAATTTATATAGCCAGGTGCACTGGATAGCATAGCCCAGTACTCTCCTCCAGGTAACTCTTATCTTGCATCACCATAGGTTGTTTTTGTCAGTTTTTGAACCTCATAAATGAAATCATACTTTACTTACTCTTTTGTATATAAATGGAGTCATACATTTTAGACTCTTTTGAGCTTTTTTTATTTAACTACCATCTGTGAGATTGATTCATGTTGTTGCATGTATGAGTACTTGTACGTGTGTTTTATTACTTTGTAGTATTCTCTAATATGAATATGCCACAATTTCCTTATCCATTCACCTGTTGATGGAATTTGAGTTGTTTATAGTTTGAGCTATCATAAATAAATGAACGTTCTCGTAAGTGTCTTTTGGTGAACATAGGCACTAATTTTCTTTTGGATATATTCCTGAGTAGAATTGTTGGGCCATATGGTAGAAATATGTTTTAGCTTTAGTAGATATTGCTAAACAGCCTCTCAAAGTGGTTGAACTAATTTACATTCCCTCCAACAATACATAATAATTGTTGTTTATTCCACATTATCTCCAGCATTTGGTGTGTCAGGGGTCCCCAGCACAACTCCTAGGTTTGATGATTTGCTAGGAAGACTCAACAGGACTCAGCACATGGTTATGCTCATGGCTATAGTTTATTACAGCAAAAGGGTATAAAGGAAAATCAGCGAAAGGAAATGGCATGTGGGACGAAGTTTGAAGGATATCAAGCACAGGCTTCCAAGAGTCCCCTCCCAGTGTAGTCACACAGGATGCACTTAATTTCTCCAGCAACGAATTATGATCACACATGCGAAATGTCTATCAGGGAAACGTTAGAGGCTCAGTGCTCAGGGTTGTTTTGGGGGGCTGGTCACATAGGCACTCTCTGCCTCACACGTACGAAAATTCCAGACTCCCAGAAGGAAAGCATGTGTTCAGCATAAACCATGTTGTTTACACAAATAGTTGAGGCACAGTGAGCCATTTTTATCAGTTCTGAGTATGGTGGGGACCCTGCCAAAATCCAAGTTCCCAGTTGCCAGCCAAGGGCCAACTTTGCAAACAGGCCTTTTTAAGGATAGCAGTGTGAGGCTTACTATGTTAACTCTTCTCTGCACTCGTGATAATTTCTGTCATTTTAATTTTTGCCTTTCTGATGGGTATGTAGTAGTATCTCATGTTTTTACATTTCCCTGATGAATAATGATACTGAACACATTTTTCTATATTTATTGCGTATTTGGATATCTTCTTGGTGAAGTGCCTATTCAAGGCCTTTGCCAATTTTTTAAAGCTAGTTCTTTTTTTTCTTACTGCTTTACAGGAATTCTTCATATATTCTGGATATGAGTCCTTAGTAGGATATGTGAATTACCAATAAATTCTCCTAGTCTGGTGCCTGATCACTTTCTTAATGATGCCTCCTGTTGAACAGGCATTTTTAATTTTAATAAACTCAGATCTACCAATGTTTTTCTTATGTGGATAGTACTTTTGTCTCCCGTTTAAGAAATGTTTACCTATCCCAAGGTCCTGGAGATATTCTCCTCATGTTTTCTTCAGGAAGCTTTATTGTTTTACCTATTGCATTTATGTGTGTGATCCACCTCAAATTGACTGTGTTTGGTATGAGGAATAGGTTAAGATTCTCTTTTTTTCTGTAAGGATACAATTGTTCCAACACCATTATTGAAAAGACCTGCCTTTTCCCACAGAATGGCAGTGACATCTTTGTTGTAAATCATGTGACTATATGTGTGTTGGTCTATTTCTGGACTCCTTATTCTGTCCACTAGTCTCTTTGTCTATCCTTGTGCCAGTAATGTACTGCCTTTGTCACTGTAGCTTTATAATAAATCTTTCTGTCTTGTAGTGTAAGTCTTCTAACTTTGTTCTTCAAGATTATCTTGGCTGTCCTTTGCATTTTTACCAGGTGGCTGTAATTTACAAGATTAGGTTTTTTGTTTGACAGGCCTTATGCTATTTCCTTCATTATATTCTTTTAAAAGTAAATTACATTTTAGATATTTCATCACTACATTTTAGTATTAGAACAGAATATTCTAATGCTAGAAACCAAGTGTATATTTTTTTCTAATCTTGTTATGAAGCATGCAGTTGGTATTGAGGTCTTGTGGTAGAGACCTAGATTTTGGGGTCTGTAGCACAACTAGATTTATATCCTGGCACCACCACTTATTAACAGTATTGCTAGTACAAGCTGTGTTTCCTTTCTGAGCCTTGTTTTTCTCTCTAAAAAAATAATAGGTTAGTTTGCATTTTCTAGAATTTTATGTAAATTTAATGTAAATACAGTATTTTTTTTGTGTAGGAATTCTTTCAGCATAATTATTTTGAGATTCATGCATATTGTTGTGTATATCAATAATTCATTCATTTTCATCGCTTAGTAGTGTCCCTTGCATAGATAAACCACAGTTTGTTTTCACTTTTTGATGGACATTCCAAAAACGGGCATAAGGAAACTTTTGCGGGTAATGGATATATTCATTATCTTGATTGTGGTGATTGTTTCATGAGTATATAGTTATCATATATACCCTTTAAATTATTTTATGTCGATTATACTTCGAAAAAGCTGTTAAAAAAGTTTTCATATAATCAATGATTGACAAGAAGAAAAAAATGAAAGTATTTCTGTCTTGTTCTAACATATCTCCAGTTTTAAAACCCTCCTCATTTATTTGTTTAATAAACAAATATTAAATACTTTAAAAGCCAATAACAGTTTGTATTACTCTGGGTAGTTCAGGATTAAATCACATATCATATTTGAAAGTATTTGGCATGTAAATGTTCAGCAAAGGTTAATTTTTTATGTTCTTTATCTTTCCAAGTTTTAACTAATAGTACTCCCTATTTTTGATGAGCTGGTTGCATGTGTTGTTTTGGTTTGCTTGTTAATAAAGAGTCAAAGGGGGGCCGGCCCCGTGGCTTGGTGGTTGGGTGAGCGCGCTCCGCTGCTGGCGACCCGGGTTCGGATCCCGGGCTCGCACCGACGCGCTGCTTCTCCGACCATGCTGAGGCCGCGTCCCACATACAGCAACTAGAAGGATGTGCAGCTATGACACACAACTATCTACTGGGGCTTTGGGGGGAAAAAATAAATAAATAAAATCTTTAAAAAAAAAAAAAAAAGAGTCCAAGGAAGTTGTTCTGGAAGCTCAAGCTTTTTCTTCAAAAGGCTATTTCCCCCTCATTTATTTCAGATGTTTCAGTTTCCACATTCAACTTTATAATCTAAATATGGAATAAGTTCAAGTTATTTTTCTTTCAATGTGCATCCTATGTAGTTAGAAATTAATTTTTATATCTTACTTTTAGGTAAATCAGGGCAAATTTTTAGTCCCTTTTACTATTTTACTTTAAAATTAATCTTATTTACATTATATATGTACTTACGTAAAATGGTTGGAATTCAAAATGATCCCAGTTGAAACCAATATAATTTCAAACTTCAGAAGTTAGCTTAAAATATGTCATTAATCAATTGCCTACTTCACTAAAAAAATAATAATAAGACTTGAATATAAGTCATTGCTTCAAAAGAATTCAAACACACTCCCATCTGTCTTCCTTTCATGTAGACTCAGGTCAACTTAAAATTTATGGCTACGAAAAGCTTAAAGACTTTACCCTATATTCTAGAGCCAGGGCTAGAAGAGAATTCTGTGGAGAATCTGTTTGAGTCCTTAGCTAGTGGACTGGAACCAAACTAGTATTTCTCAAAGTCAGCATCAGACAGATGTCCTAGACTCCCTCTTCAGTTTGCCATTTGGTAGTCTTATCTCTTGATAATCTTGGGCAAGGCACTTTATCTCTGCATTTCAGTTTCATCACTTGTAAAATGCCCTGACCACCTCTCAGTGATCACATGAGATTATGTATATGAGAAAGCTTATTCAGAATATTCAGAATATTCATATTCAGAAGTGGTATATATGAAAATGTGTGGTCCTCCTGCTGTTGCTGCTTGTATTCCTCTTGATCATGTTCTTCACTTACAGTTGCCTGGTATTTCCATGTGGGAGCGGTAGTCAGTATCCTTTCAACATGTCCTTCCTTCTTTCCCATCCTGTGATTTCAGGGATATCAGACAATGAAAAGTAGCTCTTTCTTAATAGAAAGAAGGAGTCTGCTCGTGAGTGTACTGCTTCATCGGAGATTCAAATAATTTTTTAATTTGACTGAGGTATTTTGATATCATGGAGAAAGTAGAGTATGAAGCTTATAATACAACCTAAGTATTTTGTCTTCAATTGCTAGCAGTTATTAAGCATGTGCCAGGATTTATTCTTCACAACGAGTTACAGAAAGCTTGAGTGATTGCCTAAGGTCACAGAGCTAGGATTCAAACATAGGCATGTTGTTTCCAGAGCCCAAGCTCTTAACCACACTGTCGTATTGCCTTTCCAATTATTATTCAACCCTGAGTATCAATGTCAGATTCTTTAAAAGTGATGTGTGTTCATTATAGAGAAAAGAAAACAAAAACTCATAATTTCACAATCCAGAGATAATCACTATTAGAGCAGTTCCTTCCCATTTTTCCTATATCAAACCATTTCCCTGTTATTGTATATTCAGATTCTTTCCAATTTTCATACTGCAGTGATATTTCTAGAAATGGACTTATTGGGTCAGGAGGCATAATCATACATGCTTGTCATGTATTGACTGCCAGATTGTTGTCCAGGAAGGGTTATACATTATATTCTCTCCAGCAGTATTTGAAAGTGCTCCATTTAAGGTTGTTTGTTTCAAAAAGGAGGATGACACAAGAAAAAAGTTTTTTTGTTTGTTTATTCTGTTTGGAATGCCAAAGATTTACCATATTTCTACTTTATTTCTGATAGATATTTGTGAAAACTATTTATCTTTATGGCAGTGGTTCTCAACTGAGGAGTGATTTTTGTCCCCCAGGGATATATGGCACTATCTGAAAACATTTTTGATTGTCATGTGGTTGGAGTAGTGCTGGCATCTAGTAAGGAGAGGTCCAGAAATGCTGCTTAAATATCCTACAATGCATAGGACAGACACCACAACAAAGAATTATCCAGTCTAAAATGTTGGTAGTACTGAGGCTAAGAGACACTATATAGTAAGCTACTGAAATCTAGAAGGAATCTATTTATTGAAAAGATGCTGTAAACACTTAGTTCTGCTATGTCTTATCCTATTATCTAGAAATAGAAAAGTTCATGTTTTTCTGGCTTTAATAACAAACAGGCAAGCTTTGGTTAGTCTTGGGATTGTTGAGTTTTTCATATTTCAAACATAAAATCTAATAGAATCAATTCTCAGAGAACTTTCTTAGAAAGCCCCTTTGAACAGTTTTAAAATGTTTTCCGTCACTCTCTTAATGATTCTGTAGTTGTTTCTTCCTTAGATTTGCTTTAGCTACTTTTTTATTTGGGGTTACCAGTAAAATATATAATGTCTCTGATTCCCAGAACAAAAAAGCAGCAACTTCTTGTGGGAGTTAGTAGTTAGAATATCTTTGGAACCTAAACTCAGTTCCTCCAACATAAAACTTATCTATCTGGGGACTTTTAGTTGGGGTTCAATTCATTTGCCTTTATTTTTGTTTTCATATATATCAGTTTTCTTCTCTTATTAGTTATAATAAAAACCTTGTTGTAACTAGTGATGACATACATAAAAATATTTTTAGAACTTCATTTCTATATCTTTAATAGCCAGGAAAATGTTCAGTGCACCCAAATTCCTCTGTGTTGTAACTGTCAATACTCATCAAGCAAAACATGATAATCTGTGTTGGTGGGACACGCTAAAAGTCATATTTATTCTTATTAATTTGTTACATTTTTATGTAGGTTCCAAAAACCTTGTGAATTTCTCTGAAATCTTTAAAATACATATCTTATGACTGCTAGAGCTGAAATAATTGTTGTCTTTGTTCTATTTTTATAGTTCTGCTTTGTCTAAAAAAGGCTATTCATGAGCTTTGTCCTTTTGTGCTTCACAGGAACCAGCACCTATGACAGAAGATCTGCTAGAAGAGCAGTCGGAGGTTCTAGCTAAATTAGGTACATCAGCAGAAGGGGCTCACCTCCGAGCACGCATGCAGAGTGCCTGTCTGCTCTCAGATATGGAGTCTTTTAAGGTGGGTCACACTGTCAGAGCTTGGGAGTCTATTTTGGGCTATTCTGAGATGCAGCTATGAAAGTCACTCTCTAAAGTGGTGTGAAGGCCTAAATGTCTTTTTTATTAAATGGTTTGATTTCATCAGTTACAGCAACCTACCTCCATTCCCTAAAGGTCATAGTCCAACTTGCTTCTTAAGTTTAAAAAAATAAAAGAACCATTTTTGAATAGTAGTCAAAAGTTGAGAATTGAATCATTTCTACTTGTGCATTGGGATGTTTTCTTCCTTTGTGTACGTTCAGCCAATTTACTGCAAGGCTTTTAGGAAACCCTTAGGATTTAACATCGGTTGCTTCATTTCAGCAAACCTTTGATTGCCTACTTTGTGACCTGCACTGTGATTAGATAAGAAATACAATGTTCATCCTCCTTTATAGTTTATTGAGGTCATGGGAGGAGATATATAAATAATTATTATGTGATGAATTCTCTTATGAAGGCAAGGTCAAAAAGGTGACCAACTCTACTGAGTGGGTCATGGAACATTTCTCAGAAGGATCGCCATTTAGTATGAGTAGACATTTGCTACCTGGAGAAGGATATTTTAGGCTTAGGTGTAGGCCTATATCTAGAACATAAAGGATTCAGAGAATGGTGACATCTGTCTTTTTAGCTTAAAAACCCAGGGATGAAGAAAGGTCTTTTGTTTTTGAATTACTTATTCTTGAAAGCAGTGGCAAATCCATGTATATAAAAAACAAACAAAAAACCAAGGGGGTAGCCCGGTGGGCCACAGGGCTTCCCTTTCCTACTGTCAGTGTTCTCAACTGTCTCTCTGACCCAGACTTGCCTCCTTAACCTGATGCTGTCTGTGATGGCCTCCATCTCCCCATTGCATAGCCCCTACTGGGTCCTGCTTTTGTGCTATGTAGGCCAGCCTGAGTTGGATTTTGCAACATAAACACCCCATGGAAACCTATGCTACTTTCATCTTCCCTGCCAGCAGATTTAAGTGACAATAAAAGGGAGCCTTTATATTTCCTGCTTATTTCCCCCGTCTTAGCTAAAAGAAAAAAATCTTCAGTAAACCTCTTTAGAGCTGCATGTTTTCCTTAGAGACTAAAAAGATACGGAAAATCCATGAGTTCTGTTCTACCATGAGACAAAAAAGAGAGATGTGTTGTTTTAAAACAAACAGTTGGTACAGTGGATAAAGAGAAACCAGTTGACTCTCAGGGCATGTGTTAAATCAAAAAGGTAGAGAAGGGAATTGGCTTAGGGTGTGTGTGTACACAGAAGGCAGTACTAGCCTCTGCAGCAGCTGTTTTTCACCTGACCTCTAGCTGCCTTCATATTCATTTATCCCTGTCCTGCTACAGTGTCTTTGCAGAGGCACGTACAGGAGGAAATTCCAAATTGGAACTGTAAAAGCTTTTCCCCGTAGAAACATTAGTCCCTCATGGTAAGAGTCTATTTAATTCCTTTGACGCTGTGCTTCAGCAAAACTGTGGTTCGTTAGGCACTTTTGGACTAACCTGGGCACCTACAAATCTCTTATAACATTGTTTTAGTCAGAAAATAGATTGTATTTCAAATAGCCAATACACATCTGCCCCATTGTGGGAATCAGCTAATATATTTAAGGAAATATGTAGTTACTCTAACATAGATATGGTTGCCTTTCCCTTTTTGTTAGGGAGGACATGGTATTAGGGCCCCTTGGGAGAGTCCCCAGAGCTTTGGATGAATGCTGATATGTGCCTGAGGCACCTATATCTCACAATTCCAGAAGGACAGGGCCTCTTCTCGAGCATGCCCTTGGAGTACATACCTGTAACAGTAGAAGGAAGATAAGCTATAACTGAAGTGAGCCTTGACTCTCTCCTGGTAGCTGTATTTTCAGCCTGGCATAGTAAGGACAACCAGAGAAAGTATTCTGGTTTGAAATGTCTTTCTGTAACACGTTCTATAGTACAGGAGTTCAATATTATTTTCTTTTTTAAGTTCGTGCTTTTCACTCAACTTCTGTCTCTCTAGTTTCCTAAGATGTTTTCATGTGGGTGTGGTGTTGCCTGGTTAATATCCAGATCTTTGTATGTGAATCCTGGGTCATGCAGTAATCTTAACCCATTGCAGTTCACAGCAGTTCTTTGTTGCTGTGATGTCATAGCCCTTGGAAATTTATGTTGTTGACTGTCAGTTGAGGACCCTCCCCTGATTCCTCATCCCCTCAGGGGGATTTCCTAAATTGACAAGATTGGTTAAGCTGGTAGCTAGTGAGCTGAGTGAGGAGAAATTGGCAGTTTTACCCTTCACATCTAAGACAGGCCATTCTCATGGTGTTGGTTTTCATTTTGATCTGAGGTTAATTTACTTTAAAAAGAGAAAATGACCTTCTGCTTAGCACCTCTTTGCTTACATCACTTACTGTTTCAGGCAATTAAATATAGTACTCATAGCAGGAAGAATATGTTGTGGTAGAGAATATAAGCATAATGGTTTATGTTTAATGTGGGTACACACATCCTTTGAGTATGAAGGGGATGATATATATGCCCATCCTTAGTACTCTACTAATATTATTACTGGACACTAGCAAAAAAGACCTCCATGCCTTACCACTAACGCTGTGAAGCCTCTACTGTTTTTCCAGGCATGAATGCAAAATTACATAAAGGATCTTGGCATGCATCATTGTTAATTCTATAGAATTATCCACTAAATAAAACTTTAATTAGTTTGGTTTCAGAAGCCTGAAAAACAGTAGTTGGAATTCCAATTCCTTAACAGCACAAAAACAATTTATGTGATGGTAATTTGTTATATAAAGCACAAGAATTTGATGGCTGAACGGAACATTTTTGAGGTTGGCTGATATGTATTGCAGTACCAGTATTGATTTATCAAGGGAAAAAAGAGCAGAACTTTTCCATCGTGTTACTATTCTGATCGTGTTGTGTATTATTTAATTTACTTGACTTGAGCTTATTTGATACTTTTCTAAGTATCGAGTAGTTATTATACTATAATTTTAAACTAACTTATGTAACTTATAATCTGTTTAAGAGAATTATTTTCACTTTCTATCAAATTTTTATTTCTAAATTCATCAAACAAAAATGTTTTCTTTTTCTGTAAAATGGAGACAGCAAAAATAAAATGTTATTGGTACTTTAACATATGACCTGTTTTAAAGGCAACACCCAAACTCATGTCACATAACAGGTTTTGTAAAGATTAGCTAGGCTTTTTGTGCAAGTGAAAGTATGATTTTGCAAACAGGTTTATCAGTAACTGTTGATTCGTATTTGATTCTGCTGATTTTTTTGCCTATTTTAGGCAGCTAATCCAGGTTGTTTTCTGGAAGATTTTGTGAGGTGGTATTCACCCCGGGATTATATTGAAGAGGAAGTAATTGATGAAAAAGGCAACATGGTTCTGAAAGGAGAACTGAGTGCCCGAATGAAGATTCCGAGCAATATGTGGGTAGAAGCTTGGGAAACAGCTAAGCCAATTCCTGCTAGAAGGCAGAGGAGACTCTTTGATGATACACGGGAAGCAGAAAAGGTAACTGAGATTTGGGTGTCTAACACTAGAATGTTAATTATTGTTCTAGAATTTTAAAACCTCACTATCATAGACATGAGAACTTTGGACACACTTGAGAAGCAAAGCATTGAAATTTAATAAGCCTTTGATGTAGCTACTATTTACATTTAAGATTTTAGAACCAGTTGCAAATAGGCCAAAGAATAGGACATGCATATTTTCTATATATACCATTGAACTGTATTACAGCATATGTCAAAAGCCTTAAAAGTGGTCATGTCCTTTTACCTAACAATTCTATTACCAAAAAATTTGTTAAGGAAATAATGAGAAATACGCAAAGATCAATGTACAAGAATGATCTTCAGTGAAGTTTTTTAGTGAAAGAGTAGATACAACCAAAGTTTCCAAAAATAGGGTTTGTTTCAATAAGTTATGGTATAATCATATAGTGGACTGCTTTGCAACTATTAAAAAACATTTCGAGTTCTGGAGAATAGTGGCAGCCACCTCATATCAGATTGCCTTATACACCCTCCCACCTACCCACCTTCCCCAAAACCCCATGAAATTAATAAAAGAATAAATAAATCCAGACATTTAGCATTACTGGGAGATAGAGACTACAGTGACCTTCAAATTAATTGCAAGTAGAGAAATAAGCCAAATTCCAATGGAGTTCCCCCCTGCTATAAGCCTGTGGATGTAGAAAGTGTGGACAAGGAGTCTTAAGAAGAGGAGCCAAGGGCTACAGAAGACTTAGATGGAGCATAGAGTCACCCCAGAAAGAGAGAGCCTAACTCTAAGTGCCAAAACACTCAACACAGTGGGGCTTGGTAGTTCACAGCACTGCCTGCTGGGAAAGGGCTTGAAAGTAAGCAGGGCCAGAAGTGGACATTTAGAGGTTGCCTTGGGAAGAACCAGATATATGGAGAAGTAATGACACTCCTTAGAGATAAAGCAATGACGGGAAAGAAGGAAATAAGGGGAAAATTAAGGATCCTGCAAATATGAAAGAAACAAGCCATATTAACCTCCCTCACTCCCCTGCCATCCATTAAAGAAACTGTGCAGAAGAGGGCACTTTCAAACTGGGACATGACTAGGAATAGGAATAGGTAAAGAGCAGACCACATCCATACAAAACTACTATAAAAAAACAAAATGCAAATTAGATCATTTCAGCTAATGAAAACATTTCCTAGAAAATCAGCCATGAAGCAGAAGAAAATTGTGACATAACACTCCAAACTGAATCAGATAGTCTCAAACAAGCATGGGGGATATGAAAAATCACGTTTAATCAGAAATACTAAAACAGAGCAGAAATGGACCAAAAAACCTCATAAAGAAATGAAGCCACAGCTGGTTTAACTCAGGGTAGGAGTAGAAGAAAAAGACAATCATTTCAAAAATAAAGACTAAATTACAAGGGGCCCAAGGGAGAGTAGATTCATATTTAAATTTAATAAAAGACATCAAGGCAAAGCAGCCAAACAGCCAAGAGAATGAAAATAAGATAAAGGAATAAAAGGGGTTGGAGAGATAGTAGTATACATGATGGGAAAAGTAGGAATAATATTCATTTCATCAGAGTCATGGAAGAAGAAATATCAAAACACTAGAACAGAACTAATATTTAAAACTGCAATCCAAGAAAACTTTCTGGAATTTAAAGAAAACCTGAGTTTACATATTGAAAAGGCTCACTGGGTGCAGGGGAGAATTGACCAGGAGTAATGAAGTTCACCAAATCACTGTAAAATTACTGGACCTTAAATATTAAAAAAAAAAAAAAAATCCGTAGGACCTCCAGGTGGAAAGATGAAAATAATTTACAAGGGAAAGAGAGTAGACAGGTGTCAGATTTCTCATGGCAAGGCAATGTGGAGCAGCATTTTTAAGAAATGTAAGAAAAAGTACAAACCAAAGATTTTATATCCTTCCAAGATGTCCAAATAATTGAGGCTTTAAAAACGTTTTCTCTGGGGCCGGCTACATGGCCTAGTGGTTAAGTTTGGCACACTCCACTATGGTGGCCCGGGTTCAGTTCCTGAACTGGGGCCATGCTGAGGCAGTGACCCACGTACGAAATAGAGGAAGATTGGCACAGATGTTAGCTTAGGGAGAGTCTTCCTCAGGAAAAAAAAAATTTTTTTCTCTGAGTTTTTGGACATACAACTCTGTTCACATGCACATGCACCCTTCCTGAGGAATCTGCTAGAGCTGCCTTGTTCAGTAGCACTTGCTGCAGTGTTAGAAATGTTCTATACCAATGCTGTCTGAAATGGTAGCCACTGGCCACATGTGGCTTTAATGAGCACTTGAAATGTGGCTAGTATAACATAGGAGCTGAATTTGTAAATGGCTACATGTGGCTAGTGGCTGCCTTATTGAAAAACATAGTATGGGAGGATGAACTTTATCCAACTAAGAGATGACTAGGGAAACTTTGGCAAAGGGCCGACGGTGAGCATTTAATTTATTTAATTTTAGAGCTAAGACTAAAACTAGGTGGGGACACGGGTAGAAGAATATGTAGAAATTGTATGTTAGGACAAAGTAGAAAGAATGTAACTAAAAAAGGGACGAAAAAGAGAGAAGGGGAAAGTAGAATGAGATCATTGACTGCTACATAGATAATAGATGGTAATCAGAGGATACTATTTATTTATTTATTTTTTTTTTTAAAAGATTTTATTTATTTATTTATTTTCCCCCCAAAGCCTCGGTAGATAGTTGTATGTCATAGCTGCACATCCTTCTAGTTGCTGTATGTGGGACAGGGCCTCAGCATGGCCGGAGAAGCGGTGCGTAGGTGCGCGCCCGGGATCCGAACCCAGGCCGCCAGCAGCAGAGCGCGCGCATTTAAGCGCTAAGCCACGGGGCCGGCCCCGAGGATACTATTTAAAATTGTCAGACCACATCATAAACCAGTGAAAGATATAAGGGAATTAAGGGCATCATAAAAGGTATTAATGCAAGGGTATCTTACTAGAATAAAAATATAAACGTTTCTAAGTACCAACAGAAATTTTTAAAAAGCAAAGAACACACACCAAATAGAGAAACACACATAATAAAGATCACATTAGACACAGAATAATTACTGTGTAAGATAGTCATATAAAACCAAACTATTGGGGCTGGCCCAGTGGCGCAGCAGTTAAGTGCGTCCACTCTGCTTCGGCGGCCTGAGGTTCGCAGGTTCAGATCCCGGGCACACACCAATGCACTGCTTGTCAAGCCATGCTGTGGTGGCATCCCATATAAAGTAGAGGGAGATGGGCACAGGTGTTAGCCCAGGGCCAATCTTCCTCAGCAAAAAGAGGAGGATTGGCAATGGATGTTAGCTCAGGGCTGATCTTCCTCACCAAAAAAAAAAAAAAAAAAAGCCCAACTCTCTGCTGTACACAAGGGATTAGGTGTTTAAAAAAAGCTACAAAGTATGGGCCGGCCCTGTGGCTTAGTGGTTAAGTGCACGCGCTCCGCTACTGGTGGCCCGGGTTCAGATCCCGGGTGCGCACCGATGCACCGCTTCTCCGGTCATGCTGAGACCGCATCCCACATACGGCAACTAGAAGGATGTGCAACTATGACATACAACTATCTACTGGGGCTTTGGGGAAAAAAAGGAGGAGGATTGGCAGTGGATGTTAGCTCAGAGCCGGTCTTCCTCAGCAAAAAGAGGAGGATTAGCATGGATGTTAGCTCAGGGCTGATCTTCCTCACAAAAAAAAAAAAGCTACAAAGTAAATAGTGGACAAAGGTTTACCAGGTAAGTGAAAACAATAAGAAAGCAGGGGTTATGATCCTGATACCATACAAAGTAGAATTAAAGCAGAAAAGCATTAAATGAGACAAACAAGGATGCTTTATAATCTAAAAGTGGTATTTCATAATGATATAACAGTCGTTAATATTTATGCATTAGATATAATCATCTATATAAAACAAACCACAGGAGATGCAAGGAGAACCAGATTAAAACACACTAATTGGGCCGGCCCTGTGGCTTGGTGGTTAAGTGCGTGCGCTGCGATGCTGGTGGCCCGGGTTCGGATCCCGGGTGCGCATCGAGGCACCACTTCTCCGTTCATCCTGAGGCCGAATCCCACGTACAGCAACTAGAAGGATGTGCAGCTACGACATGCAGCTGTCCACTGGGGCTTTGGGGGGAAAAAATAAAATAAATAAAATCTTTAAAAAAAAAAAAAAAACACACTAATAACAGGACTTTTAACACATTACTCTCAATACAAGATAGTCAAGTAGGCAAAACTAAGGAAAGATCTAAACAAGATAATAAAGTTGATCTTTTAGATATATTTCAAACACTACACCTTGGTAATAGAGAATGTACCTTCTTTTCAAACACACGTGGAACATTCACAAAAACTGATGCTATATTAGGGCACAAAGAAAGTAGCAGGAGGTTTCATAATGGAAATATAACCAACTCTCAGCTCTGCAATAAAACTAGAAATTAAAAGTGAAACAACAACAAAAAACACCAAGCCTTCCACCAGGAAATTTAAAAACCTTATAGTAAATGATGCTTGGGTATAAGGGGAAATACAAAGAGAAATTATAGAATTTCTGAAAAATAATGATAATGAAAACACTACATATGAGAACCTATAAGATATATTTAAGAAGCAATCAAAGGAAAATCCACAGCCCTGAACGCCTACATCAAGATGAAACATGGGTGGACCTTGAGGGTATTATGCTAGCTGAAATAAGTCAAAGGGAGAAAGTCAAATACTGTATGATCTCACTCATAAATAGAAGACAAAAACAACAACAAACAGACACATAGATACAGAGATTAGATTGTTGGTTACCAGAGGGGAAGAGGAGAAGAAGGAGGGTGAAAGGGGTGACTGAGCACATGTGTGTGGTGATGGACTGTAATTAGTCTTTGGGTGGTGAACATGATGTAATCCACACAGAAATCAAAATATATAATGATGTACACCTGAAATTTATATAATGTTATAAACCAGTTATCTCAA